GTTCGAGCTGTTGGACGGGTAACGGTCGGGCAATGGCCTTTACTACGTGGACCTGGACGACCGCGCGCTGCTCTTGGCCATGTGGTACTCTCGCTTACTGAAGGGAGGGAGTGTCACTTCCGGCAGCGGCATTGAGATCAAGGGCAGTTGGACTGCTCAAAGTGAAATTAAATTCCTGGTTCCTTGAGTTGCAAGTCATTTCTTGGGCTGCTTCACTTACTTTCTACTTATCCAGGTTCAGCTCAGTGTTTGTTTTTATATAGTCAAGGAGCTGGTGAGTGTACTCTCTTGTGTCCTGTATTTTCCTCTTATGTACTTCAACATCTTGTCGAGCAGATTCACGGAGCAGGGGCAAGCGTGGCGCGAAGGACGTGCTATCAAAATAATCGAGTATGATTGTAACTCTTTGAATTTCGCGGTTCTAAGTCAGTTAAGCATATGGAACTATCGTGCTCGACTTTATAAGTTCCGTTATTTTTTCTTGCGTGCTATTTGAAGTGGCTGGTGACATTATTTATAGCAAATCGAATTCGACATTTCGGCTTGTCCATTTAAATAGGTGGCGCACGCTTACCTATCACTACTAAGGTGTCACTGCATCTGGCTTGTGAGTATATTATTGCGGCTTAATATCAATTTCTAGTGGCATCCATGTCTTGAATGATGAATTCAATTCAGCTGATTGCTTGATGTAATTAATTGCTTTTCAGGCACATCGATAATTAAAAGAGTGGTTACGTGCTAATCTAGATTGCATCCTGAGAGTTGAGTTATTTGAGACATTCAGTATAATATCGTCATGCTGACCATATCAATTACTTCCCTAATATGGACTATTAACTCCTGTGCATTAACTAAAAGGTGTAGATGACGCTTACCATTTGTTTCAGCATGCAATACCGTTGTTTCCTCCACGAGGTCACTCTTTTATCTTTTTCTTTGCATGTGGCCGGAGCTTTATGCTTTGAAGAGGAGAAGCCTGGGCACGATGGAAATCCATTGAAGTGCTTTTGTTTTGTCACTGCACGTTTTATCACACCTGATCGTCACATTGTTCTCATCGATGATTTCCCATGAATAGGCTCTAAGCTTTGCTTTAGATTGGAGCTGTAAACAGATATTCACTATGCAATCATGCAAATGGACAATAGGGGGAGAAGAACGATTTTAATGGAGATGTCTTCTTGTCTAAAGGATTACACATTGAAGAAAAATACCGAGTGTTGGCGGTCATATTGTTAAGTAGAGGTGTCAAAGGGTTAGAAATCCATTTTTCAACTCACTTTTAGTGGGCTAGATTGCAAATTGGTCGCTTAGCATTTTACAAACGGGTTAAAATGGATTTAAAATATCTAAGCGTAACTTTATACGGATCTATATGGGATTTGCACAGGTCAGTTCATCAGCTCGAATCCATAAAAGTTAATTGCTTTTCCGTTTTCATTTTACTCGGCCTTGGCTGTTGGCTCGCTAGAAAAGACACTGCTCCTGGACAAAGAGCAAGCGGGCGTTTTCGTTGACTTGACTCGCCTCAGTCTTCCTTTGTTACTGGGCCTTGGACACTTTCGATTCGACTCTCAAATGCGACCTCATCTTCCTCGAAGTTGCTCGCCAGCGCGAGACGGACCGGGAGATAGGGTTTGAAGCTTCGAAATCGGCGCGGCTTCTCTCTCTTGCGTCATCAATTCCGGAACCTTTCATTGTCCTTTTCCTCTTCCGACAAAAAGCCCGGATGGACACGAAGGTCATATCCTCGGGAAGCGGTCCGCCGCCCTGCCGGAGAGCTACATCCGGCCCGAATCCGGCCGCCCGATGCTCTCCGAGGTCTCCGTCCCCGTCATCGACTTGGGCTGCACCAACCGAGCCGAAATCGTCGAGGCCATCGCCTGTGCCCGCTCCGTCTTCGGCTTCTTCCAGGTGATTTTCCCAAGAACCCGACTTTAAGACTAAATTAATGGTTAAATTAATGGTGTGCTGATTGGGGTCTAATTTATGGACGGCTACTGTCTTCATTTTCGCTTCCCCTCCGGCCTTCGCCACCTTCGTGTCGCCCTCCCCCGTCGCTCGTCGCTGCCATAGCTCGTCCGTTGAACACCCGCGGCCATTCCCTGTTCTCAATTTTAGATGATGCTCCTCTCTCTCTCCCCCAAGACTCAAAACCTCTAGAGATCCTATGCCGACAGAGGTCCGTGACCTAGGGTTGGAGCTCTTGGACCTCCAAATCAGCGAAGATGGAGGTTCGCAGCCTCCGATCTGAAATCGAGGACCTCCACCTGCTTCGGCGACAGTGTTGAGCTTGGTTCTCCGGAGGTTCTTGAACTAGGGTTGGCAAAGGCGGCGGCCCAACGACGGTGATGGTGCGGCGAGTGTGGGTCTTGGCGTGACAGAGGAGGTTGCCTAGATAAGATGTAGTTTTTTAATTTCTTTTCTATCTTGGCTTGACTGTGGCTCGTACTCAATGGGGAAAACGATGAAGTTTTTCAATTTTTTTTTCATTTTTCATTTTTCAAGAAATTAGATTTTTAATTTTCAATTTCTTTTTAATTTTTTAATTTTTTATGTTTTATATTAATTTATTGGAAAAGTATGCGTAACTATTCCTATCCCTATGTTCAAACATACTTAAGTGGCAGATATGTCTTAGACCTACTCCACGAACACTCTTGATTCTCACGAATTAAGTCTTAAAGAGTTCTGACCAAAAAAAAAAAAAAGTCTTAAAGAGTCGATGGTTGGAAAGCATAATTGAAAGTATGAAATAAAATAAAAAAGCTTGATATATGTTTTTAACAAGATAAAAGGAAAGCAATAGTCTTATACTTAAGTGAACCATAAAATTAAGAAAGTGTCATGTTAACATCAAACCAAAACTTGAATTCGTTTCATAATTTATGGATGGTTGGGTTGTACTTTTACCACCACCTTCACGCCTTTATTCATAACCGAACCCGGAGCTCCCTCACTAATTCAATGAACCAGTTCATGGAGCCGCCAAATTTTCAAAGGTAAAAATTTTATGGAAAAATTGCTAAAAATGAATTTGGGTCGGGTGTGGGTTACCATATTTGTGCTTTAAGTAAATGGGTCAATTTGAATTAGACTATTTTTTATCCGACTTACTCGATTAACGAGTGTATCGTTAAGTCTCGCTTTTTTTTTTTCTTTTGGGTCTGGAAATAGAGGCAGTGTGTTTCAATCTAATGCCGAACCTTGTTGAGTTTTTGCTGCTGGACATCATCGAAATTCGTCTCCTTCTTACTTGGAATTATGACCAATTAAATTTCACGGGTAAAATCATTAGGACAAGTTGCAATCAGTATCCCATCTTCAATACCCATTTGATGTTTTTACTTGGGCGTGTATGAAAATCTTATAAGATCCTTTTGTTTCATGAAAGATGAATGACTTGAAAAATATTTTTCTAAAAGTAATAATTTATATTGCTTAAAATAATCATTTTATGAAATATTTTAATTATAATAAATTATGTCCAAATATTTTCGTGAACGGCGAAAATTTTTTATGTTCATTCAGTCTATAAGCGATACAAATGATCATTTTTCAAAAAATATATTTCAAGTCATTCATTTTTCACTAATGACTATTGATTGTTCGGGATCGTTTAATGCACAAACTGACATCTTATGCTCCTTGAACATAACGCATCATGGGCAGGTTAAGAGGTTCAATTCGGTCTTGCTAAAGTCCATAAAAAGTTCGGGACGTCCCTTTTACATGTTTGCATCATCTCTATGTCGTACCGCATGTTTGCATTGCATTTGGGTTAATTCCAGGCACCATTGTATCTAGACCACAAAGGACATTTGGTCGATTAATATGGATTATTGGAAAAAGTACAAAAAAATTCATGAATTTATTATATTGATGCTAATTCAATATTAAACATTTTAATTAAGTCAATTTAGTCTTAAATTATTTCACATTTTGTCAATTGAGTCTCTTTGACTAAAGCGTCGTAATTCCAAAGTAATAATAATAATAGCATGCCTAATCCCCAAGCTCAGCTTATGTAGCTGTCTTTACATATGTTGAGCCAGTGCTCGACGCACGTTTTTTTTATGGTCAAATTGTGTTTCACGTATGTTCAGCCGGTGCTCGTGAGATATCTGTATATATCGAACTGCAAGCCTTTCTTGAAAAAGAAACATCGACCTTCTTGAAAAAGCAACATCGAATCCAGAGGCACCACGTGGAAGTTAAACTTCCATTTGGCCCCTCCCAATTACTGCGTTTCGTCAAATCCTCCGGATTCAAGTGTGAACATATCGCGAACGAAACCGCCATGGTCGCTTGACCACGAGCTCGCGACCATGGTTACTAGAGGTTGAGCTCCGTGGCCATGGCGGCCGCGAGCCTCGGGCTCGCGCTCCGGTGCCGGGATGGAGAAGACGTCGGTGACGCCGATTTGGACGAGCTGTTGGGAGGCACACCGTTGTCGTCCGCTTTTGGTTTCCATGGAGAAGATAAGGAGATGCAGAGGAAGCGGCAGAGAGAAGTGAAGAGGGAGTCTCGTGAGGGACAGGAGGGGAGAGAGAAAGTGGGCCCCACACAGAAGAAAATATCCCTGACAGTGAGCTCGGAAGACACGTGCTCATCACTGAATGGACTATGATTTTTCTGACATGGCAACACTTGGAGTACCCAATATTTTCTCGGGTTTTGGGAGGCTTAAAAAGAGAGAGACATTAAAATAACATTTAACTATTTAGGGCGATGGAGGTGATGTCATGTTGTCATTGGTGTTGTAGCTCGTCGGGGGTACACAATTTTTTCTTATTTGAATTCAGTGTGAAAGGAGTTTTCCAAAGAGACCTTTCAAACCTGTTTTAAACCCACTTGATTTGACCAACCACTTGAAAACCCCCCAATTCTCCAGTAAAACCATCCATCCATCTCTCTCTCACTCTCTGATTTCTTTCTGCATGTCCTCCTCCTCCTCCACCACCTTGAACAACCACTTCTCTCTCTCTCTTTTCCAAGTTCCCATGGATCCCGTCACCGTGTCGGGCACCTCGCCGCTGCAGGCGGTGGATCCGGAGATCCACGACCTGATCGAGAAGAAGAAGCGTCAGCAGTTTTGCAGGATTGAGCTGAGCCCCTGCGAGATCTTCACCTCCTCCGCCGTCGACGTGGCCCTCGGCTACGCCCTCACCAACAATAACTCCAATGTCATGCCCGGCAACCCACACGACGGTGACGACCAGTTCATTGACGCGCTCAAGAACCTCTGCCGCAACCGCGCCCTCCAGGCCTTCTGCCTCGACCCCACCTGCTGGGGCGTCGACGTCCAGTCCTACTCCGGCTACACTGCCAAGGTCGCCGCCTACACTGCCGTCCTCCAGCCCCATAGCCGCATCATGGGTCTCAATCTCCCCTCCGGCGCCCACCTCACCCATGGCTACAACACCTCCGGCAGCAAGAAGATCTACTTCGAGAGCATCCCCTTCGACATCGACCCCTCCACCGGTTATATCAACTACGACAAGCTCGAGGAGAAGGCCCTCGACTTCTGCCCCCACCTCATCATCTGCGGCAGCAGCGCCTACCCCCGCGACTGGGACTACGCCCGCTTCCGCTCCATTGCCAACGGGTGTGGGGCCCTCCTGCTCTGCGACATGTCTGGAATTAGCGGGCTCGTCGCCGCTCAGGTATATGCACTCTTTTATTGGTTTTGGAAATGGATCTTCTCGAATTTAATGAGTTGATCATTCTGCTTCGTATCTGCTGTACATGTGCTTTGATGATGTGCATGTGGTGAGGTTCTCAATGTTCTTACCGTCCGTGCAATTTCGTTTCTGGCTACAGGAAGCTGCGAACCCATTTGAGTACTGCGAGATTGTCACGACCACAACACACAAGAGCTCGAGGGGTCCGACAGCCGGGATGATCCTCTACAGGAAGGGCCAGCCCGAGGATGCCCTTTACAGCTCTGAGGGCATGACCCCAGTTTTCCACTCTCTTCAGGGTGGCCCACACAACCACCAAATCAGCTTTCTGGCCGTTTCCCTGAAGCAGGCCATGTCTCCTGAGTTCAAGGCCTATGCTAAGCAAGTCAAGGCGAATGCTGTTGCTGTTGGGAACTACCTCTTGAGCAAGGGTTACAAGCTTGTGACTGGTGGAACTGATAACCATCTTGTCCTTTGCGATCTTCGTCCTCTTGGATTGACCGGTAAAGATTGCATCAGTTCTGTTGAGTGAGTTGATGATGTTGACAACAACGCATATGTAGATTCTAATCACTTGAAATAACACTCTCGCAGGCAATAAGGTCGAGAAACTTTGCAATCTCTGCGGGATTACCGTAAACAAGAATGCTATATTTGGTGACAGCAGTGCCAAGGCACATAGAGGAGTACTCATTGGTAATGAAAACCTATGCACTGCTTCATTCTTTTGCCCCTTATTGTTCTATGCTCATATTCGGGCAATATCTGTTAAGCCTAAGCTGTACCAAACACGTTCAGGCCAACCAGCGGCTGAATTATCATTGCAATGTCTGATTCAAGAGGCTTGTCTTGTTTGCAGGAACTCATGCCATGACTTCAAGGGGCTTGATGCAGAAGGACTTCGAGCAAATCAGGGAGTTCCTCCACCGGGCCGTGACCATCACCTCGACCATCCAAAAGCAGCATGGGAAACTAATGAAGGACTTCAACAAGGGTCTAGACAACAACGAGGACATTGAGGCCCTCAAGGTCGATGTTGAGAAGTTTAGCTGGCTCCATTGACGATGAAGTACAAGGATTAGATCCCAAGAGAATCATCCATCATCCTTAGTGTTACTAATATCTTCGTCTTTCTTTCTGGATTGTTGGTTTCTTTGAATAAAGCCCCCCTCCCAACGTGTCCCTCAGTGGAAAACGAGGGATGTGATGTCTGGGCTTCTTTCTGACCGTGGTCTGGTAATTTTTCTGTTTAATCCAAATGGTCCTGTTGATTTTTCTTTTTTTATCACGAATTTTCTAATTTGATTTTCGCGAGTTTAGTTGGTCTTAGTATTTTTACTTCTTGCTAATCGATGCCATAGAACGTCAAGGGCACTTCTTAAATCGAGCATTTGGCATGTGATGGTCCAAGGTAAAAGAAAAGGAAAAAGTGGAAAATTGGCAGTCTTGCCCATATTGCATGCTTCGCATTCAGTTACTACGAATCAGCCCTTACCCTTAGGGAAAATTTCACAAATACGAGGAAATTCTAAATCCTATGGCCATCCCTAAATCGCTATTTTATGAAAATAATGACATGCCATGTGTGGCGCTTGTGATGTTATGATCGGCATCGTCCCTTCATGTCTATAGTTTGATCGGTGACCCTCACAAACATAAGCTACTCATTAGACTGAAATTTCATAAATACACGCATCCCCTTGTACTCGTGGGAAAAAAAACAAAAATCTGACCTTCACTATTCTTTCGAATGTAATATATATGTGAAAGCTTACGTCATATATCAAGCAATTTAGAGATAAAAATATAGTTGGTCTAGTTTTAAAGGGGTTAATTTTCTTCCATGAGGTTAACAATTAGGAAATGGGCAATGCTTCCTAGTGTTATCGTAGTAATTATACAGATTATTTAACTCGTTTTTTCGTGAAAATTTGATCCAACCAAACTAGTAACTTTGTCTATGGTGATGATGACTTTAGCTTTGCTCGAAAGGGCCAAGTATATGCATCATTTATCACGCCTGAACTCTGTGTATTGTTCTTCGGGGCAAGGGATAACAAAATAAACTATGAGTATTTTGCAACCCTAATATGGTATGATCATGCATTGTCATTTCCCCAAGTGTCTACGTGCAAAAAAGCTTCTACCGTGCAATGAAGTCGTTAGGGACAAAGTCGTAAATTCCATTGAGGGTTTGTCAACTTGCATGGAATTCTCCAATCACGTTCCACTTTTAAAGCCGCACGCACTAGATTTTTCTTCCCCGTACAAAGTGATTAAATCATTATTTCTTTCCACACATTCCAAGAATAAACCGCCGCCGCCATTTTCCAGCCGAGCCAGCGGCCCCCACGCGCCTCCATGCTCGTCGACTCGCTCTTCAACAGCACTGGCTGCGGCGGCGGGCCAAGCGAGATGGGCTTGGGCCTGACGACCCCGGTCTTCCGCTTCTTGGAATTCAGGCAGGTCGCATTTCTGCTGACTTGGATATTCCACGACATGAGCTTTAGGCGACCAGAGGATCCAGAATCATCAAACATCGCCATACTAGTCAGCTTCGTTATCCACGAGTTGCCCTTAAAGCCATTTTCATAAAATTTGTTTCACGATGACAAAAAAATTAATTTTTAGGGGGAGGGGATGAAACTAGTATATTACTTTAGTTACTTGCAGTAATTTTCCTTAAAAGTGACAAACTATGATTATATATTTGTCAAATGAAAAATTATGATTAGGTATTTAAATAAGCGGGTCATACTTAAGTATCCAACAAAAAATTGTCGCATTATTATACAATCTATTTGATGCCGAAACGCGATAGAAAATTTGACTGAACAAGAAAATTCGACAGAAGAACAATTCGTCCTCCAAATATGATTATCAAATCAAAAATATCCAAGTCTGCTAAAAAGAAACCCTAAAACAAGTTTATTTAACCCCAAACCTAACCCTACTAGGATTAGTAAACATCAAAACGCAAAATTACGAAACTGCCCTTTACTAAATTAACCCATAAAAAAAATACTAAAAAAATAGAAAAATCCATCTAAACAATCTCGAATCGCGAAAATCCATCGTTAGTCACGGCCAAAGGCGGTGAGTATTGATCAGCACGCCGTTTCGCTTCAGCCGACCAAATTTGAGTTCAATCCGATATCGTTAACTTCAAACCCGCCGATTCGTCCAATCGCATAACGGGTCCCCCCTAGGTGCATCACTATTAGTTTTAGGGATTTGGAATCGATTAGTCTAACTTACATATTGTATGCATCTAGATCGTTTGACATTTCATATGTGCAATTCATTTATTGTAAATATAAGTTTTATGTCATCCTTCCTTAGCGGATGATCGCCAATTCTCATAAAAGTAATGTTGCGGACTCATTTTGTTAGAAAAATTAAGGGATAATGAGGTCGCAATCACTCGAATGATTACCCATTTTACAATTGAGTATTTCAAATCTTTTATTTTGGGCAATCAAGCATATCAACTTTTCAAACGTGGATCATTAGAGATGTCTCTTTAAATCAAGGACGGAAAATGTCAATGCGGAAACTAATGCCGTTAAAAAACCATTAATCATCAATATTGGCGTTCAATGTAGCCTATAGAGAAGATTCCACATCAATAGACACATATTTGGACGAGCTAAAATTGTCCAAGCCAACACTCCCTCTCTCTCTCTGGATTGCTAAAAGGAGATACCATATTTTTTGCCAAATAAGCAAGCCACGTCACCAATTTTGCTTAACATTTGCCGAGTAAATGAGTCACGCCAACAAAATCACATTATATGTGAATTCATTTAACAAAAGCCTCACATTGAGCCAAATTTAAAAAGTTGAGGTGCTTGATTGAACAAAAAATAATAGGTAGACAATCGACTTTAGAATGGGGAAAAAATTATTCCCCGGCATTGGGATTAGTTTTGACCTTTGCAAGATTCCCATGCAGTAGCTCATTTTGGTAATTACTTACTTTGCTAACGTGCTTCGTGCTTCGTTTCACTCCTAAGAGTAAAATTCCGATTGCAACTTGAAATTCCTCTTGAAATTTGACATGATCAAATTTAAATAAATATTTGAAGTGCCATACAACATTACCACCCGTAATGCACGAGAAAGGCGAGAGTACAACAGCTTTTCGAGGATTACCTTTATTTCGGTGATTTTCACATGTATCACACTTCAAAAGACATCATTTTCGAACAAAATAAAAATAGACATCGCATTGAGGCATTCGCTTAAAGCCAAACGCATCCAGACGAGACCTTCCGCTCAATTATATGCTGGCATCTTCGCGGGGAGTTCGTGCAGCTCTGCCTTCAAGCTCAAAACGTCCACTGCCTCTTCAATCGAAGGCAAAAGACCCAGCATTGGGATGAACACACCACAGCCCCGCAATCATCAAGGCCTCCGCCTGTCTCTTCTGGATTTTTTTTCCAAGCCTCGAGTCCACAGCATTGAGCAATTTCCCGCATTCATTTCGCTTCTGAACCCACTCTACAAGGTGTCGTAGGTCTCGTTCTTAGTCGACAGCTCTTCTCCCAGATCCTATTTCCAAAAGGACCACTCCGAAACTATAGATGTCAGATTCCTTACTTAGCTTACCCATTCGAACGTATTCGGGAGCCCTGTAACCTGGTGTTCCTTTCACTTGGGTTGTGTTTGGCTCTCTAGTGTGGTCGACTAGCTTAGCCATGCCGAAATCTCCCAATTTGCCCATGAAATCTTCATCAAGCATGACGTCGCTGGATTTGATATCCCTGTGGATCACACATTGATGACTTTGTTTGTGCAGGTAGTGCAGCGCCAAGGCTAATCCCCAAGCAATGTCGTACCTCGTTTTCCATCCCAACACGGGCCAGTCTTTAAACAGATGATGCTCCAAGCTACCTTGTCTCGTGAATTCGTAAACCAGGAAGAATTTATTCACCTCGTGACAATAGCCTATAAGTTGCACCACGTTTCTGTGCCTAAGTTGGCTCAATGATTTCACCGCGGATATATACTCCATTATCCCTTGGCGTGAACCAGATGTCATTTTCTTCACAATGACCGGTGTGTGAGCTTTTCCTATGTGCCCCTTGTACATGATCCCGGAACCTCCTCCTCCCAATTTCTGGTCACTTGCAAAAAATTTGGTAGCGATCCTCAACTCTTCGCAGGTGAACTTCTTGGGCCCACCCAGGTTTGCCAACTCTTCCGTTAATGTCGCGCTAAGATTGCCTTCTTCTCCACCTCTCCCGGTTGTCGTAGGTGCATTATTTCCCACTGGCACACCATTGCTCCAGCGAGGAGGAGGGGGGACCTTACATTTTTCACCTTGAGAAGCAATACCGATCACTACCAATACAGCGGAACAACCCAACAGGAGCAGTTGCTCGAAGCTAATTTGATAATAGTGCTTAATGAAAAGCACCGATACAGCTCCAATGAAAACTGCGTCACCAACACCAAAGCCTCTGGCAAACATGAACACATCAACGGTCAGCAACTAATTCCAATGCTACTCTCAGTAGATCGTCTCATGAGAGACCAAGAGTCTTTTTTTGGCCACAACCAAGAGGAAAGTTTACACGGGTTTGATGGCACTACAAAAGAAAAAAAAACTTCATCCATGTCTAATCGTCTATGATCCATGTCTAATCGTCTATGATCACCCATAAGGTCAAATGTCAGCTTCAGAAACGCGTGCAGTATCGAAACTGGACGACCAAATCTCCCATAGAAAGGTCAAAAGGTTTAGACTCTCTGAAACTTTGGCGTCAACGGTCCATGTAGCAATCGTAGGATCAAGAGTCCGTTATCGGCTCCTCTCAAAAGACCCAATAACTTCCATGGCGAGACATCGCTTCATTTCATAGGCCCCCAATCATACAAACCACCTTACGACTAACGGTGCCATAAGGACCACAACAGGGCAACCGTAACTTGCTAGAAATATGCCAATTACCCGAAAAAACTAAGGGCCCTCGTTGACCTTGTTCAAGCCCATCAATTTTTCAGCTATGAACATGGAAAGGGTACAAGCAGGAGTCGAAGGCTAAGAAACATCGAGG